TTTAGTAAGTTTTTAGTAAATATTTTGTTGTTTATAGGTATTTTAAGTGATTTTATAATTTAAAATGTATATTAATATCGGTTATTATCAGCTATATCAAGCTTTATTTTATATTCATAACCATAAGCCGCAATAATTTATCTATTAAAGATAAATTTACAATAGCTAGTTACTAAATAACGTTTAAAATAAATTATTTTTTCATTTTATTTTCACATCTTAAGTTTTGATTTAAATATGACAAATATGTTTAATCATACTATTCTATACTTATAAAGCTGCGAACAATTTTAAAGTGGGCAGATTCATCGTTTTAATCTTCTATATTTATTTTTTTTTTTAAATACATTTTGTAGCTTTTAGTAGAATAACTTTAACATATAATATTACACTCTATGCTATATTAATATATTCTTGTTCGTTTTTAGAATGCTAAAAACGTATTCAAAAATAGAAAATTCGTTGGATTTGCTCAGTGAATTTACTACTAAACAGTGGTCATTTGACAATAAAAACACTGTAAAACTGTGGTCTTCACTAAGTGAAGAAGATCGTAACACGTTTTGGTTCAGCTTTGAAGAATTCGACTGGAAAACATACATAAAAATCTATTATTTTGGGATCAGGAAACATATACTTCACGAAGAYCTGAGTAATAAAGAAAGGGCTATATCAAAGCATCGAAAGTAAGGTCATTTTTTATTTAATTTAGGAATTGTTCTCAAACTCTTATTAATTATTTATTTTCAATGGCAAATGTACATTTATCCTAATCAAACTCACCAATAATCTAACTATTGACAAAACTAGCAACAAAACTGCTTTATTTTTAAAAATTAAATTGCATTTTAATCAATCATTTAAGGTAAAGAAAATATTTCAATTAAACTCAAGTTTAAGGAAAATTAAATGTGATGTAGGTTTAAGGTCTTAAAAATTAATATTTGTTATGAGTTATGTTACTTTATTTTTCATTTATTTTACCATCATATATTATTTTTATTTTTTTTCTAGATTATTCTGGTTACATCATTTGTTCATTGTTCTTATTATTTATCTCCTACTACAATGTTTGTATTGGATGTTTATAATATGAAGCGTAGGTACCTATACCTACATATGCGCATTTTAATCTTCCGTCAATCATATTTACTTCTGTAGATTATGATCATAAAACTGATATTCGTACTTGAAATGAATAACTCCTTGACATCATTATTTTGTTTATTATCTTTTATTGAAGTGCAATTTTGCTATAAACTTAAATTATTTGCAGTATTAACAAGTGTACTCATTTTTTTAACWACGTATATTAAATTATACAAGCATTAATTTCCAAATGGAAATAAATTATTTTTGTAATACGTCTGTTCACCTAAATAAGAATAACAAATCATTATTTACCTCGTAGTTGTATGATTCATAAATAATGTAATTTTAATTTTTTTTAAATAAATGTATTATTATTGTCATTTATCCAGTGATTTATTTATACCTACTACTGATTACTGATTGGTATATTATATGACAATATTAATTTCATCCTATGCAGTATACCTATTATTTATAGCTAGTAATAAATGACGTAATAAAATAAAAATAGTTACCTAATCTAATATCAATTAGGTAGTTTTCCTATCCGACGGAATCCAGCCATAAATATAATTCCATATTTAGGACTGAACTATGAAACTCCTCTAAACCAGTGGTTGAATTGAAAAAAAATATAAAGGTGGACTCTGAATGAAGTTGAACAATTAAGCAAATTATTTTAATAGTAACCCTATTCCTCGATGAATATAATAAAGGGGTATGCTATAATTTGAAAAAAAAAATGAAGAGTAGCTCAGTCCCCCTGCGTTCTCCCCTAATTCAACCACTGCTCTAAACAGAATCGCATGAGGTACCATGTGAAGAATTTATCTTGCTCTCAAATTAAAAAAATATTCAATATTTTCAAAAACATCAATACACAGGCTTTTGAGCAGAGCCAAACTCAGGCATATTGTATTTGTACGATTTGATTTTCAAATCCACTTAACAATATTAGATTTTAGATTTTAATTAAAAATATCATAATGGTCTTATATTGTAGTACCTACCTACGTTATTGATTTATAATTGTTTTCTGATATTAAATAAGTAAATAAATTTTTGATGATAAATTGTTTATCGAATATGTACGATAAAATAGATTAATGTTCGATAAGCATAAGCATATTAATATGTTTGGTGAAATATTTGTTATAACTTATAAATATATACCCGTACTCGATAAATCTAATGACAACAAAACCCTACAACTTCAATATTTATAATATCTACAAATATTTTAAAAAGGTAGGTTATAATATTGTGAAAATATATACTTAGTTGATATGATACTTTTAAGTATCAGTTCTTACAATAAGTCATAATGTGTCACAAAAATCTAAAAACAAAAATTACGTTGTGTTGAAAAATGGAAATGGTGGTGTGGTGTGGTGCGGTGGTTGTTCTTAGTCACAAAACGTGTTCTAAGCGCAGGCACCGGTCACCGGTTGGTGTCGCTAGTTTCCGAATGGGTGACATCCGGATGTTAGTGACAAATCTTCGCCATACATATAAAAGCTACGAACATACCCTTAATCCCCCTACTAATGGCCACAAGTTGCCGGGGTTATAGGTAATAAAAAAAAAAAAAGTTGAAATATTTAATATATCACATTTTTTTAGACATGCCGGTGGTAAACGAAAGGTTATCAATACTTGGCAGATAACTTACATAGCAGCTATGTTCATATTATAATGGCCTTTCATCACGAAATCGTTTTTAAAGGAAAATCACCTAAATTTAACGAATAATTAATAGTTTATTAAATACATTTTAAAGTTTTTCTTTAAATATCGTGAAAACACTTAATACTACAAATAAACGGCAAACGCGGGTATAAATACGAAGAATATTGTTGAATAAGTTGTATATTGTTCTGTATGCTCTCGATGTATAGCAGACCAAGCTAGAAATCCGAGTTATACAATCTTAAGTTAAAAATTGAAAATTAAAAATGCATATTTTGTCGATTTTCATTGATTTTCGCATATTTATATGCATAAGACTACGCTAATAACGCGGAAAACGGGCGTCATATAAAATTCAATATTATTTTTTGTGGTTATTTATTGTTATTTCCTATTATCTACTATAAGWTATTATATTGTATTTAAACATTTGTCGGTGCAGTTCACATTTAATCTCATCAAATGCCAACCTGTTACGTGCTATATTTTAGTTTTCAATAATAACATTTTTTTAATTATAAGTTTTGATTTATTTATTTTTTTGTATATTAATAAATAAATATTTTGTATTGCATATTTTTTCATGCATATTTTATAATTTTTTCGTGCATATTTTGCCTTTTTGGCTCCTATAACTTCCAAACCCTAGTTAAAACTAATAATTGGGAAGTGTATAATATTATTAATCAGGGACATGATTTATGACCAACTGATGGATTAAATGATTACCGACCGTATTTGAACGAAAAGAAAAAAAATATGGTAATGTACAGAAACCCTAGCCCTAGTAATAAGCTTTTTCTCATATATTATAACTTGAGTTATTATTTAATACATATTTAACAAATAATAGTACTGACCTTCAACTATATTATATAACAGGTGCTTGTTGAGATTTATAATGGTAACGAGGAAAAAAACAATTAACTATAAATAACTGTTGTTTAATATTAATTTRTAACCCGTGTTATGATGTTCAATGTTACAGCCACAACGTAAATTTTTTTTCGATGCTAAAAAAATATARATGTTGTATACAAAACGGATATAACAAATTACATCCTAYTGACGCGTACCCACGTCGCTTACGACGATTATATAACCAACAAATTATAATTTAGTATGCACATAAAATTAATATTCTTCAACAGGTATTATACTATTATGTAATCAAAATGTGCGAAATGTGTTGAGTACGCGTGGATAACGTAGTAAAACTTCTGTAGAGAGGTTCAAGAGTACGAAATAAAATCGTCTAGACATAAACGTTTTTATAGTTTGTTTTGTATATGTATGTATTTATATCAAAAAAAAAACAACTAAATAAATAAAATGCAAAAAAGATGGCTGCTCCGACTCGAATCAAACCCGCAACGGTTCTCATCATTTTAAACCACTCGAACCGTCTTCGGAGCATTTCGTCCGATCGTAACGGTCACGCCTTTATATATAAATATATATATATAGGTACTTTCTGTAAAATAGTTCTACTTAAAGAACATAACTTATGGACAACGATTCTGATATCAAAGACGGTCTGTTAGCCTTTATTAGTAAGTGCTTATATTTTATGATTTACAAATGAATGATATTATAAATTGTTCTGTATTTTATTAATATTTAATTATTTTTAATATTTTATAATAATATATTCATATTAAATATTATTGTTAATAATTTTCGAATCATTATTATTAATTTAATACAAAACCTATATTAACTGACTTACTGTAGAACTGAATGAATAAAGGGGATTCATAACTTCGTAGTATAAATAGGAAATACCATAAAAACAGGCACGTAACTAGACATTTTTCTATAAGGGGGCCAATATTTTTTGGCCCCTTTCTGTTTTTTGTACCCAATTCCACTCCTCTTCTTATCAGAAAATATCTATAAAAAATATTACTATATACATTTCACAATGTATTATCTGTATTAGTTAAGCATTATATTTTTGTTATTTATTAATATAGGTATACAATATACATCTTAAAAAACTATATTAGGACCAAGTCGTCTATTTCTATGGTTCGCTGCTTAGTGTTAAGTCTCTAACTCGATACATAATAATATTATATTGGGACATATCATTTTGTTAGGCATGTTTATTTTATATTATACGATTACTGTATTGGTCCACTATTATATATAGTAATGTCTGTAGTTGTGTTTATCAAACGTGCGTTCGATACCCGTATTTGGCATTCCTAGATTTCAATTTATTAATAGACTGAATTTTATCATAATATTAACTTAAACATTTTTTTAGTTGTTATAAGTGGATATATCTTTATTGTTTTTAAACACTTATTAACAAAAATTTGTGAAAAACTTTGTGAACAAGAAAATCAAAAATGTCAAATTTCTATAAGTAGCTCAAAAAAACTCAGTATTTTATACACGAAACCAAGTATAGAAATGTATAATATCTGGTGAACATTTCATGTATCTTTGGTCGATCGTTTCTGAATATATATAAAAAATAAATCAAACCCGTTTGATGAATAAACGTTAATTTACGCTTGAATACGTTTTTCATATAAACTTCAGACGCTTGATATATTTTGTTTTAATTCCAATGATAAAAACTTATGAATAACCTAGTGAACAATTTGTTCATTTAAAACTTTTAAATTTCAAATTTTTAGTCTGTATTAAGAAAGTAAAATTTTTATTGGCTTAATTGTTGTTATGGGTTTTTTTCTGGCTTAATATAGACCATTCAGGTCCTTCGCCGCAACCACCACTTCTATCCATCTTTCTCTATCCATGGCTAGTTCTTCACCGTTCAGGATTCCCAGCATATCCAAGTCTTTATTGTCCCTGTCTATCCATCTTTGTCTTGGACGACCTAGTTGTTTTTTACTCTTCGGCTTCCAGCAGGTGACCTGACCGATTTTCTGTTCTCGACCTGCCATACATGCCCTGCCCAACTTATCCTTTTGCTTTTCATAGTAGCTATTATATCTGAATCTTCTAACATGTTTATTGCCTATTTATTCTTTCTTCGCTCATATTCTCCCGTGTTTTGGTTTCTTCTTGGGTCAGAAACCTGTCGTAACACCTTTCTCTCAAACCTTTCTAGGCTTTGCTTGTCTGTTTTCGTTGTGGACCAGGTTTCGCACGCAAATATCGCTATCGGGCGTATCATTACTTTGTATAAAGTTAGTTTAGATCTGATTGAAACTAATTTAGATTTTAATATTGTCTTTGTCATGGGTATGCAAAAATAATGCAGCTATCGAGATTACTGGACTTCTCCTACATGACGATTCTAAAAGTAATTGTGTGCAAGAAAATAGGTTTATTTGGTTGTTATCTCATATACTGTGTATGACGTTTCATGCCTTTTTACTTTTCAGTGGTGTACTTAATGTGCACGCATATACGATCAAATGTCTATTATTGTAGCATACATACCTATTATTTTTTAAATACATAARAAAAAAACAACTAAATAATACCTCTTAGAAAACTGATGAATACTTTACCCTACGTGTCAAATCCTACACTACACGCCGACTTAAAACTCAAAACAATTAATGACAAATCAAAAATCTTTTATAAATTTGGTTGCCCCCTYGAAGATGTTTACTTCCTTAAATGGCTGCTGGAGAAAAATTAATATCTCTAATCCTGGTTTTCTATATTAATTTTCATTCCAGTTTGAGTTAACCAGGCTACATATCTCAGAATTTCTCGCATGTGTTACAAGTTACAACTTGTAACAAACCTAACATGGAAGTAAGTATAACTGAATCGTTTAGGAATCGGATCGTTTTTGTAACTGGAAGTACAGGATTTTTGGGAAAAATACTCACTGAAAAATTACTCAGATCTTGTTCATTGGAAAAAATTGCACTGCTTGTTAGAAGTAAAAAAGGACTCGATCCAAGCCAGAGGGTAGCAGATATCTGCAATCAGTCTGTAAGTTAATTTTGATTTTGGTCGTTATATTATTATTTATTATGTGCAATAATTGCACATAATTGATTTTATTTTATTATAATGTGTATTARTTATGAAAAAAACAGTYAATTTTAATGTCATAATCCATTAGTCATGAACTATCGAAAATCTAAACGGATAAGTATAGTTTTAGATAAAAAAATTCATTTAACAATTAACATTTAATGAATCAATAATGAGCTAATGATCCCTTAAACATGATTTAGTGGCCTTGATTGTTCCATTAAATTTTATTGAACCATTAATTCAATACATTTTTCATGCAAGCCATTATATGACACTAAATGTTGAGATACATAAAAAATGTTAGTTAATAGTTATTACTAAACATTTAATGTTGAAAACAAGCTATTAGACCTTTAATCGTGATAAGTGGCGCTTTTTGTTCCATTAATTTGTTTGCAACGCTTCCTGGGAATTAAAATAAATTTAATAACTATTGATATAAATTATTAAAATACTAAAGAACAATGCTTGTACCATGGGACTATACTGATATTAATATTCATCTAATAGGTACCATGGTTTAAAATTGTATTTACATTTTTTTTATTACCTAATGATAACTAAATGCTCATAAAATTACATATTAAAAATTGCGATATGCATATTATACATATAGTAATCATTAAGAACATTAATTTAAAAATAATATTTTAACACTGTACATCAAGCAACTATTTTATCCTAGTTGATMAAAAGACAACTCATAATTTATTAAACCAAACTTTTATTGAAATAAAACAACTGGAAATATTAATATTAAAAAATAAATAAAAATTACAATATTTATGAACAATATTACAAATAAAACAATGTAATAATAATATTATTATTAAACAGTGAAATTTAATATTATAATATAATTTAAATTACTTTGGAGTTCTATAAAAATGATGAAAGTAAGAAGGTATAATGAGGCTTTAATAAATAATGATAATATTATATATCATTAATTTTCATTTTATCAACTGATAAATTTTCATTAGGTTAAGGCTCTTAACGGTATATAAAACATTTTTGAAACMTTCCTCTTTTTTCTTAGCCAACATATTCATGTTATTTGTAGGTACTTATTGGGCTATTTAAATTGTACTTAATGTTAATTTTATTGGGTGTTGTATATCATGATATAGTTATCTCTTTTATGYTTCTCTTTTAATTACTTGGACCAAGTAATATATAATATATAATATCAGTCGATATTTTCCAATTTGATTGTGAACTCTCTAGTCTCTAGCAAGGATTTAAAATCTAAATARTCTTTATGTGACAATTCAAACACTTAATAAGATTAACCATTTATTTAAACATATTTTAATAATACAACCCATTGGGCTATAATGTAGATCGTTTAATATTATTTAGAGCATTAAAAGATTATATGAATGCTATCATCTCCGTTGTGTGATCCCTTTTCTAAAAATATATGTTTGATCTTCACTTTAAGAATAAACGCTGCATGCTCTCACATTACATTTCAGTTATGCCCTGCGGAGTCGTCAGAAAAAAAATTGAACTTTTCAGTAGGTATCATCACTTTSCTTCATAATTATAATGAACTTCAATGATCATGCAGATATTTCATTAGAACCTCTATTAGCATCTGTTTCAGTTCACATAAAACAATATCCTTATTTTTCTCTACGCCATAAATTATAAAATCATAGTTGGCAAACTTTTTCTTGTAGTAGAAACACTAGAAACTACTAACTTTACTTTGTGGTGAAGTTATAATACTTTCTATAAATCAAATACAGCAATGCAAAACTGGGTGTCAATTTCAGATCTTTCTTTGCCARCTTTTTTCATATTTCATGCTAATGTCTTTTTTAAAAGATCATCTTCAGTTTGTATGGTGGTYTCATTTCCTTTTCCTTTATAATCTTATTATTTCTGTTAACACGCTCTTTGCTATTGTTATGAGAATTTTTGACTTTACATCTATCCAATCACCAATTATTTTTATTAACTTACAATTTTCAACGACAGTGACGCCTGCATTTTCAATACCAAACACAACACTTGCATAATTATAGTGTGAATCTATAGGTACATATTCAGGATATTTGTCACTATCATAGTATTCACTACAAGGTACATCAATATCTCTAGGAGATCTTTGTCTTATACAAAGTAACAATAAAAAAAAAAATATTTATATTTTTGTAATATCCATAACATAATATTATATGTTTAGAAGTTTAGAAGAAGCTACTAGCAACGATGGCCKGTGCGTAGATACACTCAGAGCGCGTACGCAGCTGAGTGTAGACATTCGGCCACACCAAGTCACAATTATTATTTTGAAACAGTGGCGTAATTACGGGGGGGGGGACATTTGGGTGTCGTATCCCCCATGACCTTTCTTTTAAGATTGATTAACTACATACCTATGTACTTCTTTATCTAATATTATTATTATTATTCTTTTTATATAAATGTATATAATGAAATCAAATACCTCGGTGAATTAATATTATTATAAATAGCCTATATTTTATACTTTATAGAAATAATACAAAAAACACAAATCCTTTATGCTAGTTGTACACAAATACTTCGTACCTAGTTCGTTTTAAATGCAGCCACGCAAGTTTATAAGTATCACTATTGCAATATGAATATGTTTTGTGTAAGTTTTGATTTTGTTTATGTATTGTGTAGTGGTACAAAAATAAACCACCGAGCAGTAAAGTATTATTTTATCGTGGATCGACGACGATCGAAAGACTATTGTCATATCTGTCCTATCTTATCCTATCCTAATATTTTTCCCAGTGGCGTGTCCAGAACTTTTTTGGTGGATGGGCCACAAATATTAAGTTCTGAATGGTTTTACCCCCTCCTCATACTAAAATTTCATTGAGCATCGGACTTACATACTAGTCTAGTACTTATATAAAAATGTGGGTGGGCACATGCCCACCGAACCCACCCCCTAAACACGCCACTGATTTTTCCGTAGTCCTATTGAACTAAAAATAACTTATCGATTTTTACAGCACTTAATCGGAATTTATTCCATGTCTCACGTGTACATAAATATATTACTCTGAATTCTGAAAGATACTTATAATAAATACTTTTTATTGTTTTTTATGGGAGGGGGGTATAGGTAAAATGTTAAAATATTTTATCCCCCCCCACAAACATGGCAAAATTACGCCACTGTTTTGAAATGATGTATTTAAAAAATAAACATTTAAAATATAATAATAATATATTACATTTTTCTAGCAATTATATTTTTAAAACGATTAATTTAACAAAATATTTTTTAATTCAATTCATAGTGTGACCCTTTTATAGTAAAATTAAATGTATTGTTGACATAATATATCCATAACATTAGGTTATGTATGTTTTTAAGATGTTTGACCGCCTTCGAATTGAAAAGCCCAACTTCATGACTAAGATAAAAATTATTGATGGARATTTGGAACAACCCTCACTAGGTTTATCATCAAATGATCGTGATTGGTTGATCGAAAATGTGAATTTCATTTTTCACTGTGCTGCAACAATCAAATTCAACGAACCTCTTTCAGTAGCAATAAGGATAAACATTCAAGGAACAGAAAATCTATTAGAACTATCAACGAAAATTAATAATCTTAAGGTAATAGAAATTCATCATTGAATGTGTTTTCATAATAAACATTTTTTTAGGTACAGTATGGTCAGGTATTAACAGTGGACATTGATTTAATAAAAATAAAATAATTATTAAATTTGCATTTTGATTAATTAAAGCTACAATTATCTCATTAACTTGAGTTAGTATTTGGGTTATTAGGTTATAATGATTAAGTAAATTAAGGAAATTACATAAAATATCAAAACTGTTATAATACCTATGTAAAATTTCTTAGAAATCTTAAAAAAAATATAATTTTATAAATGATACAATTAGTTTTATGATATAATAATAATAATAATAATAATAGTTAAATATCATCGTAATTTTAAATGCAATCTGTGCAATTGAATGATTGATAGCGTATCATTTTTTCAGGGTTTTGTTCATGTATCAACCGCTTATTCACATTGCCCAAGAAATGAAATCAAAGAAGAATTTTATCCCGTTTCGATATCAGCCAAAGAATTGAAAAATGTAATTAAACGAGATAAAAATACACACAAGTAAATATGGCTTTTCCTTTCTTTCTATTAATTTTTTTTTTTTTAATTTGCATATTTAATGAAAATCTAGCGTTTTAGTAGATTGGCCCAATACATATACTTTCACTAAAGCACTAATGGAAAACGTAATATCAACAAATGATAATCATTTACCGATCTCAATATTTCGTCCTTCAATTAGTAAGGGTTCTAAATAGAAATTATGTTTGAGTAATACATTACAATATTCTATAGATACCAAAAAGTATTTTTAAGTTTGTTTTATGTATTTATATTACTTTTTTTTTGATCGAAAAGTGTAATTGAAGATATTAAGCAACGTTATTGTATTATTGTAGTAGGGTGCACAAAATCTGAACCAGAACCAGGTTGGCTGGTTAATATGAATGGATTATCTGGGGTAGTTACTCCAATAATCGTCGGATTTTTAAGAACAATTCAACTGTCCAAAAACAAAATAACTGATATTGTCCCAGTTGACTACGCTGTCAATGCACTAATTAGTGTAATGTGGGATACGGTAAATAGGTAGGTATAGGTATAATGTATTACATGTAATATTTGCAGCATAATCATTTRTGTTCAATTCTATTCGTCGATAGACATCGAGATGGCGACAGACGAAATAAGGTACCAAAAATTTATAATTACGTGTCTAGTGTTGAAAGCTCAATGAATTGGGGCGAGTTCTTACAATACACATATGAAACGTACCACCAGGTGCCTCCATTGGGATCAATGTGGTATATATTTTGTATATTTTCTGCTAATCGATGGGTCGTTAGTATTTCGAGATTTTTTTTACACCGAATTCCTGGGGCGATTGTTGACTTATCATTCATTATTCGTGGAAAAAAACCAAAGTAAGTTMTAAATACCGTAAGTAATCTATCTAGTACCTAATAATATATCATATTTCTTTTCTAGTCTCAAATAATCGTTAAATGTTAATATTTGTATAGGTACTAGAAATATAATTGTTTGATATTTCCAAAACATAAGATGGAAAATTGATGGTTTGAAAATACATATTATGACTAGGTATTTTAGGGTTTAAATATTTGGAGATCAAATATTTTCAAAACATTGAATGGAAAATTATTGATATGTGATAGTTTAAAAATGTAGTGACTATATTAGGGTTTAAATATTTATTTGGAGATCTAATATTTTCAAAATAACAGTATAATATTTTAAAATAAATATTTGTGGTATAACCTAATTTAAATACTGTGAAAATATTAATGTTTTCAATTTAGTGTGTGGGTATTGAAGTTAAATTAGGTAACATAAAAAAAAAATTATATTCTTGTTAATTTCTAATACAATATTCTGATTTTTAACTTGTTACTTATCTTAATTTAAGGGTTTTGGTGATTTCATTTTGACCAGTTTATTACCAACAGGCTTATTTATTCAAACCATCTACCATTATTTGTATTTCACAATATTCAAAACTATACTCAATTACCAAAAATTTTAATATGGCTATATAAAATATTAATTAAGATTTTATATGTTCATTTAGAATGCTGAAAATGTATGAAAATATGGAAAATATGACTGATTTGCTTATAAAGTTTACGACGAGTGAATGGAAATTTGACAATAGCAATACTCGAGAATTATGGTCATTACTAAGTAAAGAAGACCGCAAAACATTTTGGTTTAGTTTCGAAGATTTCGAATGGAAATCATACATAAAATGTATGGTTTACGGGATTAGGAAACACATTTTACACGAAGACTTAAGTAACATGACGAGAGCATTGTCAAAAAATCGAAGGTATTATTTCGTATGTTTGATCAAAATACGCATATAATAATTTCATTAATTATTATTTATTGGTTTCAGGTTATTTTGGTTGCATCTGTTGTGCATTTTCTTTATTATAATATACATCATATTTCAAGTATATTGGATGGATATAATAAAATTCATACATATTTATTAGATTTAATCTTAAATAATAGTAATTTAATATTAATACCTATGTAATTTGTTTTTACTGTTTTTAAAAATGTTACTAGTTGTTTATTGAAAATTATATTATATTGGTTAAGCAGTCTTACACTTTCATGAACTGAGTTTTAGCTTCGAAACCGTCATTCTTACTTCCAAAACAGATTCTGATATGGCTTCTTCCACCCTTCAAAATCACCTCAATTTTATGTACCTAAGGCCTAGGCAACCAGATGATGAGCCAAAATAAGCCCTGAAAAATCATTTCATGTTCCATTCACACTCAAGAAAAAAAGCTCCCCCCCTTCAACTGCGAGGTGTTGATATTCCTATTACACCAAAGGTAAAATATTTAGGAATCATAATTGACAAAATATGATTAACATAGAGGCCCACACGGCAACACCTAGAATCCAAAAGCAAATTGTTAAATAATCACCTACACATGCTTCGCCCAATATTAAAATCCAAAATTTCTATAAATTCAAGATTAACAATATATAAATCTTTTATAAGGCCCATATATGGACTGGGTAAGCGCCAAACTGTCTTTAATACAAACTATTTAAG